TTGTGGTCAGAGAAAAGAATAGTAGCAACAATAGATTTCAGTAAAGCTCCTAAACGTAGAACATATGTTGCTTGTACTGTACACGATTACAATTCCAACAATAATCCGGCATGATGGGAGTGTTTACTGAGTTATTTCATTTTCAATCCCTTTAATGTTCCAAAATCTGAGAGCTCAGTTATTCCTATTAAAGCCTGAACAGCAGCTTCAAAGACTCTCTGCTGTTACTACAGTTGTCGGCCCTCAAGAATTTTGTGTTTTTTTCATCACTGTGTAAAACTGAGACCTTATATGACTCAGGAGATGCACTTTTCTTTTCCTTTTTTGCGTCTGTGTGTTCAAGCTGGAACTCATTTGTCTAAGCTACTGTGGGAAAAATGACAGTGATGGACATCTTCATGGTACAGTATAATATAGTGTATAATATTATGTGGTTCAGCCTGTCATGTATGTGGGGAGAAAACTAGGGTAAATGTGTAATTTTTGGATGATTTGTAATGCCAACTTTGCCACGGGAAACCATTAGGAAAGTCAGTGCAATGGAAAAAGTGTACATCAGAGATACTGCTCGGTGTAACGCCATGACTAACAGGGAAAGTCTTTGCAACATGTGTGAGCTGGACACCCGCCGGGGGCTCATGGGGATCATAACAGTATATGACTACTATGGCTGAAGGAAAGAAAGTGCTGACAACCAGATGTGAAGCTCGAATCTGGATGCTTTTCAAAGCTTGACTCGGTCTCCTGCTGGAGGTAGAACGGTTTAATTCTGGCACATTAAGAGTTTTTCCACATCCATCACAAGGACCGCCTTAATAAGCACCTATTAATAATAATTGTGATGCCATCTCCTGTAATAAACTGATGTCAGGGAAAACAAGACAGGATAATTAATAAGTGTAAGAATTTCTGATGGGGGATTTGCAACAGGTAGCCACCGTCTGGAAAAAAAAAAAAAACACTCACAGCTATCGTGCAATTTTATCTATTCAAGGCTGTGAAACAAACAAACAAACAAAACAAAAAAAAGGAGGTGTATATTGGACTGGAGAAGAAAACATCGACGCTTTCTAGCAGTTTTTCCCTCAAGAGACACAACAGGAAACAAACACTAATGGTAACTGTAGCTCCTGCCTGCTGGGATGACACATCTACAGCTATGCATAACGTTTCCATCCAACACAAGTTATCAGAGAAACTCTGCTATTGTCATACTGAGGCTTCTGGCTCATTCTATTCTTGATCAAAGTCCCTCTGTCAGCCGCGGTGCCTCATATAGCATCAGTTGGCGCTTATGCGTCACCCTTAGGCTGGACAACTCCGCCGCGCCAAGCCACACACAAAGAGACACACACACACACACCACCAAAAGGGTAAAAGAATGAAAAAGCAGTGATTAACCAGCTGAGGTAATGCATGTGGCCCGTGGCGACCAGTTGAATGTTAGGAGTCCTGGGGGCCGCGGAGTTGTAGAAAGGAAGTCGACAATCTGACAGGCGAGCAGCGGGCGAGCTGGCAGGCTGGTGAACTGACTGGCATAGAAGCTGTGTGAAGAGCCCGGGGCGATGGGATGGAGATGAAATGCCTTCTTTAGAAAGGTCATGAGTGCAGATCCACAGTGTGTTTTATTAGTAAAACACATTTGGACAAATCGGTGTTGACACGGCGTGAAGAGATTCCTAAACAACTGAGCCACTGCTTCTGTTAGATCTCTGAGTTCTTCATTTATCTATATCCTTCATAGGAATATACAAACAGCTCTCAAACGCTATACAGACAGGCTGTGAAACCCTTCAGGACAACGAACGGGACCTTACAGAGACCTTGGATGCTCACTTAGCTCATAAATAGGTTCAATTAGAGCCCGTCTTCAGGGTGACTTTGGCCTGTGGAGATGCAGGTGGGACAAACAGAGCTACCAGATGAAGTGAGTGAGTCACAATAGAATCTGCAGAGGAGACAGATGATACAGTGCACGGCTCCGAGTGACTGACTGAGCGCAGAGGCCACACAGTGTATCATACTACATCAAAGCCGGTTATCTACTGGTTGCATGGTGGCTGAAGACCGGGCTGCACTTGAATGGCTGGCAGCTTTGTGAAGGCAAAAAAAAAAAAAAAAACGCTGTGTGCACGCTTTGCAGCCAGCAACCACTGCGTCCAATTTCTTTAGGGCAGCCGAGCTGCTTGAGAGACCATGCAAGCAAGAGGCTCAATTTTTTTTTTCAAGAATTTAATTCCAGACATCAGGTTGTGGAAATTAATCACATGCTGCGAGAACACAAAACCTGCTTCTCGTGTAGCCTGCAGCGCATACAACTCAGTCAGTAAGTCTGCAAATATTAATATTTAGTTTTGACAATTTCAATAAACAAATTACTTTATTAGTTTACTGAAAGTTCCTTTACTTGATTCATCCATATAGTTTGGCTTTGGCTGCACGTTTAGTCTAATCTATCTTGACCTTTTGGTCTGATGTTTCCACAACCAATAAAACTGTTTATGTTTTCACAGACAATGAATGACTCTGCTCTTTGTTCACTCATCAAAATCAACCCCACAAATGAGGTTATGTTTCAATTTGGCCTTGCTCAGACCCTGCTTGCTGCTGAGCCATGCAGCCAGCTACTGTATTTGACTTGAAATAGCAAATCAACCGTGACAGGTAGCCTACAACTCATGTCAGTGACTCTGCTGATCGGTCACCTCCTCTGCTACTACCTTCTGCCCTGGAGTAAACTACACATTGAGTTCAGGTTTCATACCCAGCTGAGCTGAGGCATTTTTAAACCCATGAGTGTGTTCATTGAAACGGTGCAATGTGGCTGCCTGAGCTCATCAGCTGAGGATGCTCGTCTCCCAGCATCGGTGGAGTAAAGAGGGGCTCACGCTGCATCTGCCTCAAGAAGCAAGAAGCCTCCGATCGTCTGACAACAATCATTCATTCATTTGGAGGCCCGGCCGAGCTGTCTCCCAAAATGAGCAAGCAAGGGGATGTTTTGACCTGCCTACAAACCCCTATGGGATTCAACCCCGGCGAGACAGTCTCGTTTTTGACGTGAATACATCGATAGCACCTCTGTCTTACCGGCTGCTGTATGTGGCGAGACGTCCCCTTCCCCGGCGGAGGAAGATGCTGCCGCTGCCGCTGATGGACCCCGTGCTGGAAATAGTCGCTGCCAGCGGCTTTGTTGCCTGCGACCCGGTCCCTCTTCTCCCGCACGTTGGAGCCTCCGTTTTCCCGGTCTTCGCCGGAGTCGAGGCTGCTGAAGTTCCACACAATCAGCGTCTGCACCAGCAGCACCGTGAGGGCTGCGATCAGGGCGGACCGCGACCGGCGGGCCAACCTGCGAGCACACAAGCCGACAACCATCTTCGCACCGGGCTGCACGGAGGAGCTGGAGGAGCGTCTGTGGCTCTGCGCAGCGCGACGGGAGGAAGCAGTGGAAGTAGAGGGAGGACGGGGAGGAGGTGGAGGTGGCGGCTGAGAGAGAGAGAGGGAGGGAGGGAGGCTGAGCTCTTCAGTGGCGGAGGCGATGAGAAGCATCGAGGAGAGGCACAGGGCCACCGTGTGGTGAAACTGGGTGACAGGCTGTTGAGCGACAGATGCTCCAGGCTGCTGTGCAAACCACTGACTGTCTGGTCTCAGTGGAGAGGAAGTCTAAACGACCAGACAGTATTCTGATGATGACCAAACTGGCCTACTGAAAAAACGTCCTTTTTTCCCTTCTCTGTATGAAGATTTGCCCAGATAACAGACCCCAGGGGGCTTCTGACTGACACACTGATCACAACAGGGGCGTATTTACTTCTTTTATTTATCCCATGTACACCACTTTGTTTGACTGCTGTCTTTCAAAAGTGCTTTAAATGCACATTGACTTTACTTTACTTAAAGGCATGGTTGACGATTGGTAATTATTGTGAATGTCGTGTTTATAGTGATCATGATCCTATAGTGTGTTCTCCACAAAGTGAAGCTGAGAAAGAATGGTAAAAATCTGTTCATCCTTGCAGCTGCAGGGCTGCAAAAACATTGATCAATGGGAGTCATCCGTCCTGGACAACTGCTATTGGTCACTCTCCTGTTCCACTTCTCAATCCAATCACCTAGCTGTCCAATCACACCCCTCTCCAATAGGAAATAGGTAATGGCTCAAGCCAAACGTGGGCTGTCGGCTCTGTACGTCGAACAGAACATTATCGCACTTCTGAATCTCCTAACCCTCAACCTAATCTTAACCTTAACCCTTACCCTAACCCGACAGACTGTAGTTCCGACTCGTCCCCTTCCACTCTCCCGTAGCATAGCAGCTTAGCTACAGGAGCTGTGATGGAGAAGGATGCAAAAAAAAAAAAAAACACTTCTGCTTGCCCCAACGCCAAAAGTGCAAAGAAAACGTAAGTCGCCAGAAGAAAAGGACAGAGTCGAAGAGGAAATGTGACCAAGTGAGGAATCTAACTCCAATAAACATCAGGTCATCTTGCGAGCTGTGGAGAAAGCTACGCCAGGATTTGGGCCTGAAAACAGGCGCAGAGACAGCAGAGTTTTTGTTGAACAGGAAATTTTTGCCTTTTACCATGGCACATGTTACATAAATAACTCTTATTAGTCTCTGCAATGTCAACACGGTAGCGGCAGATGTTTTGAAACTAGCGTAGGATCTTCTGCTGGCCGGCTTCTTACTCTGCCAGAGGGAGTGTGTTGTGGAGAGGGCGGTACAGGTTTGGGGGGAGTTATCATGGAGCACAGAAGGGAGATGTTTGTGTGTGGGGGGTTTGGGACGCTTTTTTCAAATCTGCCTCAACGGCTCAGTTTTTTTCAACTGCTTCTCAGATCGTCAACCATGCCTTAAACCTTAAACTCAGCATCTCCTGCTGAAATACATTACCCCAGACCCCTAATTCAAACAAACCACTAAAAATGTTTCTGTACGGCCTACATTGAAAAACATCATTTTATTATTACACCTCAGTTTATGGTTCCCAGCTGGAATCTAATGGGAAGATGAATGTGTTTTCCCTTCCTTCGATGAAACAGCTGTGTGGTGGAGCTGGTGTGAATTCAGACATTTACCCCCTGTGACGCCATCAGTGATTGCTGTGTGTGGTCATTTGCTGTTGCTCTGTTGTGACTGTGTTGCCGGGATTCACTTACTTCCAGACAGACTAATTTGATTTTCCATAATATAATACCTTCTGTCAATCACACTTAACATTTTTCACATAACCCGTCTGTTATCACTCATTATATCTTATCTTTTCTGTGGTTCCCCCTTAGTAAGTGCGTTGTAATTTGTTCTGTCAGTCATTCTTCTTCTTCTTTTCTATTTGGGCCCTATTTTGCCCTAAAGGGACATTCCGGCGTAAAATTAATTTAAGGTCAAACACACGTAACATCGAGACACCCCGTCGAGAGATGGATGTTGCCGACCGCTTGCATCTCTAGTTATACCAACTTTAGTAACCACTGCACGTTAGCTATACACAGAGCCCTGACGAGTCGATCACCGAGTGCAGAGGAGTTTCGCAGCTAAAGGAAGAACATTTATGATAATTTCTTCATAGAAATACAATCAAACAGAAGAACTACCGTGCCTGCCGTGCAAAATGATTCATATGGTGATTATTACTTCAAGGAAATGATAATGTAATGATCATAAATGTTCTTCCTTGAGCTGCGTCACCCCGCTGCAGTCGATGGACTTGCCCGGAGGTCTTCGTACAAACAAGCGGCTGCTGAAAGAGAGAGGGTGAGTTGTGTGAAACAAGAAATCAGGCTAAGAAAAAAAGATGTTTGATGGCTAGTTCTATGGCAGGGACCCTATATGTCCTGTTGATTAAGTTCAATGCTGAACATTATTTGTGGCTATAGAGTGGCTTTTTGGTTGAACGCGTGGCTCTCTGTATTGCTATCTGGGGTCGTTACATAAGTTGGTATAACTAGAGAAGCAAGCGGTCGGCGACATTCATCTCTTGAGGGGGTGTCTAACTCAGTGTAATGGTGTGTTTGACCCTAAATTAATTTTACACCGGAATATCTCTTTAAAGATTTTAAAATAGTGTAATTAGACACTCATTTTTATATTCAAAAATCTGATTTAAAATATGTTGAAAACACATAAGAAGAGCCTGTAAACATTAATCATGGATGTATCTAACAGGGTGTCTTTTCTGCTCTCTAAGGACCAACTTTTTATTGCGCCACCGTCGTGATGATATTTATATTCAGCTTTCGTTTACATCCCATTCTACCATCCATTGTCCATGATGAGAATGCACTTCTACAACATTACAAATGACTCAGTCTATTCATGGGCCTAAATGAGCCATGACAGTGTGGCACTGTGACAGCATTTAAATAGAGGTTAGCCATCCTTAATTATTGTTTACCTTATACATTTTTTATTATGGTGTGTCAAAGTGTCCCCATAGGCCTAGTTATCAGTATACATACTCTGCTTATATTTAATACTCACTCATCTTAAGAACCAAAAATAGCCGTTAAGAACTCTGTTGGTCTTGACTGTACACAAGTTATTAATAATAAATTGGCATAGCATTTTAAAAAGATAATTTAATTCACAGTAAAAAAAAAAAAAAAGAGACCGTCTGCCACTTCCTGAAAATATGTGTAGGAAGCTTCTTAAATAACTCTCAAGTCGTACTCTGAGGTGGGAATATTTTTAGACCAATCAGACTTAGAGCTGAGGTCTTTGGAGTGATTCAGAGAAGCTTGTTAAAAATTGCTTCCTGAGCGCCATTGACACTCAAACACCCACAGCAACAGTGATGGAAAGCTTCTCTGGCAGAGACGGGGAGCTAAACCTCACCTATAGCAAGAAGGCAGTACTGTTTTTGCTTCTCGGTTTACTGTTGTACAGTGTTGATGACGCCAGGATTCAGACCACATAGGCCGGCTATAAATGAACAAGTACCATACTACTGAGAATAATTTGACACTCTGCCTTATGAGTCAAGATTTTGTCATAAAAGTAAGGCTCAGGCTCCTAAACACAGTGTTAAAATTAACTCGATGCTAAATCTAAACGTGTGCCTTAAGTACCCACAGCAATGACGGCTGAGTGTTGTCAAAGGAGTACCAACGTATGTCCACTAAAATGCCCTCCATCGAACTCTGAATCGGCCAATCACAGGCCTCCGATGGTTATGTGTCAGGGTTGCATCACACCATCCATCATGGTTCAGTGCATCTCTGTGAGCCAACTCATCATACCCAGTGTTACATCCTACAGTTTACTGAGAGATAAGAACATTTATTCTGTGTGATGATCCGTACGCCTGTAATGATTATGATGTACCATCCACGAATGATGAACAGCGTATTATTTTTAAATGTGTGCTTATACATAACCAAACTTTACATGAATATCTGATTCTTATAGTTTAATATGCAAGGAACTTGATGACAGACAGACTTCTTCACATTTGTAGAGGGTTTATGTTTTAATAGCTGTAGCTTTAAAGCAAATAATCCAAGTACACCACTATTATTTAATTATCTGTGGGATTGGCCTCAAATAATGTTTTATGAATGTAATATTTTGCAATAGGTGTCCCCTTAATATGACTTTAGTGAGCTTTTCCAGCATCCTGTTTTACCTGGTTCAGACATACTTCCAACAAACAAAAATTAAAAGTTTGGTAATCTCAAATCTTTTTCAGAAGAGCTTCTGTTCATGCATCCAAATTAAAGCTGAGTAATACATCTTATTTGTTGTTATGTACAAGAGAAAGCTGTCATTTCTCAGAAATCTTATCCTCTTGTTTTTTTAAGGGTTAAGTGTTTCACTAACTGTGAGTAATTGTCACGAAAAATGCTTTTTAAAAAGTTTAAAAAGCTTGCTGTTAAGTATCAGGTCAAACTCTTACTCTCTAGAAACAGTTTCAGGTATGAAGAATTAAAATTAAAGCAGAGAAATGATCGGCTCCGCTGCTTGTTTGCTTTGAAAGGTCATCATAAAGAGGTATCAGTATCAAGCAGTATGTTTACATGCACAGTTAAAGCTCCTATAAGGGTTTTTTGATTGGTCATGAAACAGACTGGGACTTACACTGATGCATCTATATGATGTTCGTATACAAATGAGGCCATTAATAACCAGACTGACTTTTTCTATACTGCAGTTCTTAATGGCTGTAACTGCTGTGAGGGGGGTGGGTACATTGAAGGAACAGCCTTAGTTATGTTTTTCAAGAGCAAATGTTGAGTTTTACTGTGAAAAGTCAACAAAAGACTTTTTTATGTTAATTACTACAACTTTCATGAAGACAAGGTGAAATCAGCAATCATATAAGAGTTACCATTTTTCTCCACAGGGGGCGCCAAAATTAACACAGACAAAAAGCTCCTCACAGGAGCTTTAAGTCAAGCGCCATAAGGCGATATAACTTTACTACTCTCCTTATCCCAGTTTACAAGCTTGGTTAACAAGAAGCTAAGTAGATCTCACTTTCACAGCTCTGAGCTTTAAGATGGGAAAGTTTCATTTTTGTTTACATCCTGTTTTTTTTGTCTGTGTAGGTCGACTGAACCTTATACATGACAGGGAAAATTGATTTTAATTGTAATATCCAGGTGTGTGAGTCTGACTTGCATTTAAAAATTTTAATTGCAGTCAGACTATTGCAATAAATCAATTCTTTTTAAATGCATGTAAACTTATTGAGTTTCATCCTTCTTCTCAACCCATTAAAAACTTCTCATAGCACCTTTAAGATAGGATATATTTTGTGTCTCTTGGGTTGTTCATACAGAGATCACTTGTTGAAATGTTTATAGTTATTATTACAGGCTTACATTGCCTTTGGACAATTATTTTATAAGGCAACTATTATCTAACCGAATAGGGATAAAACTTCTACCCTAAAGGGAACATATAGTCCATACCGGCCCATCCGACAGCAGCAGAGATGATATGGTGCTTTTTAGATTGGGTTCAGTATTTCAGAGGGGAGTTTACGGTCTGAGAAACCCAAACAATACCTCTAACCTTCATCCAAGTTCACTTTATTCTTTGTCCTGGATTTTCCTCCAGATTCTTGACCCCTCTGACCTCTGAGCTCTGTTGGAGAAAGACAACGAAACTGTAATCACATGTATCTATTCGAATAAATCCATGTATTTTCACTATGAAAAGCCAAACTATGAAAAAAATTGAAAGGAGGATATTTTTCAGCTTACAGAGTTACCACTACTGTGCTCAGGGGCTTTAAATGTTTAAGAGATAACTTCAGTCTTATAAATAAAGACTGACTGTATTCACTCCCTTCTCCAATTAGTCAGAATTTGCTGTATTTATCTTTTATCACAGTGTCTGCTTTAAAACCTCTTTGTTCCCAGATTACGGCTAGTTATCTGTAATGGTTCAAACAAGCAGATACACAGAAACAGTCATCAGAAATAATAATTGACCATGTATTTCTTTTGGCTGCTTCATGAAGATGACGAATATTTTAAAAAGATAAATAAAAAATACACGTGGCTTCAAAGCCCTGGACAAAGAGCGCCAGACTGAACCCATGAGGAAACCCTGTGTGAGAACTGTGACTGTGTGATAAACGTGACCCATCACAGACCCCAAATGTTTGGAGCCTGTTTGTGATAAATCTTCACAGACTGAAACACAGACTTGACTAATCGCTTCAAACAGACATGTATCTGATGTACGGATACAGCCTCATCTGCCTTTTATTCAAAGCAGAGCCTGAGCCTTTCATAAAAGCTGCTGTGCTGTGAGAGTTTTCCTCTTACCAAAGATCTGACACACAGGGGAAAGTTACATCAGATTCAGTGTTGGTAAATGAAAGAAGAGACTGCCTACTCAGAGCGTTTATCCTGTTTACTCTGCAGTGTTGAATAAGTGATACAGCTTTAGGCTGCCAAAGATTGCAGATGGGATAAATGACTATTAGCCGACAAAAATGACATATTTGAAGAGGTTTAAATTGACTGCAGAAGAAGGAAAACTTAGGGTACTGTAAAGACCCACTCCAATGAAAATTATGTTTTTCTTGTTTTTTACATGTACTTGTGGCATTTTTCTGATGCTACAGGAAATATCATGAGAAAAAGAAGTGCAAAATTACATTTCTGAGTATTTCTGCTTTCAAATCTCTGTGAATCTCTGGCAGACCCAAACGGCAGGCTCAGCCACAGTGAGATTTCCTACATCACAATTCCAAGCTCCGCCCCTGGAGACCCGCTATGCAGGCCACACTCAGAGAAATAGAGAGGACGATCAAGGAGCAAATGTGTGCATTAGCGGATTGCAATGCTCATAAGAAAGCTAATTATGACACTAGCTTTCACCATGTCCCACAAGGCATTAGTGCAAGATCTGAATATCTCCTATTTTACCTGCTAATTCTACTACACCGGCAATGTTAGGCTGCAAGCTAACGTGAAGAGGAGTGTGCAGAGCAGCGCTGTCTCATGGGCGAATTGCTAATGAGCTACTGGAGCTCTGCAGAAGAAAAGCCCTTGAAAACAACACAGGTGATGTAATTTTGGTTAAAAACTTCATAATCACGATTTAAAGACAACTGAGAACACTTAAAGAAATC